GGGACAACGCACTAAAAGATACAAAAGGTGCTAAAGAAAAGTAATATATTTTAAGTTAGAGCGAGCGGATATAAAAGTTTGTTGAAATATATCAGTTTTTTAGTACTCTGATGGAATGTTTGTTTATATGGTGGATTAGAAACGCTCACTCAACAATAATATTATAGACCTTCAACTATTTGTTGTCTATGCGATCAATATAATTTTTTTTCTATGAAAAAAATGTACAATTTTGCACTGTGTAAATAGAGGCTTGTAAGTTCAGTAAGAAGAGCGGTTGCCATGTGAGAAAATCCAATAAAGTAAAAGCTTACAAAAGTAACCTAATATTATAATTTTCGAGGATATTCCTTTCGTTAAAAACACATCCGTATAGTATAGTTCTGTAAATCGTTTTATCTGATACAAACGGTATTTTGTTCAAAACTTAACGCTAAAATTTATTACGCAATATAAAATGTAACCCAGAAAACTATCCATGCGTCCCTCGTACGACATTTCGCCTTGCTAAATCTATTGCTTTCGAAATCATTTTGGCGTGAGTTTGTTAAACGTTTATGGTCGCACATAACGAGTGACGTCTAGTTGCTATCGAGGAAATGATTTATTGCTACGGATCGATGCGACCTCAGACGGCTCTACTCGTAAAGAACACATAAATCGAAACTGTGGTAAACCGACACCACGTTAGTGACACACCGCGACGGGACCGAGGTTTGTTTTTTCAGTGACCTTTCACCGGCTGTGAGACCTCGGATGTCGACGGCCGACGTCCCGCTCCCAAGTTACCCAGAAAAAATCATTTAAACACATTCGTACGCAATAATCTGTAAAGATTCGCTTCGGAACAAGACGGCCACCCACGTGGGGCCCGTAATTCTTCCCGAACGAGCTAACTTCATTATTGTGGCGTGAGATACAATAGTAAAGAGCACGATTTATAAGTCCGACACGTTGACTTCTGTTTATGGCCGGCGGCGGGGCGCGGGCGGGGATTATGCGCCTGCGCAGCGATTTATGGCCGTGCCTCGATAAAAGCTTAAATACTCTTAACTGGAAATTATTCAATGAACAGCTTTGAATGCGTTGTTGAGACTGTATTGTGGCTGCTACCGGCATACCGGCTGCCGCAACGACGCAGCGCGGAGGCGGACCGCGCTTCTCATTGCCTCTATAATCTTACGCGATATTCTTTATGAAGTTTCTCGGTGAAATTGACAATGACCAAATATCAACTTAACAACAACATAAGATACGATAGTTACAACTCAAAATTTAACTTTCAATACTTTATTAACAATAAGTAAACTGTATATACAATATTTGTGCTGTTATAAGCAAATATTACAACGCCATGCGGAAGTAAAAGGCAAATAGCTAACTTTGATTCCTACAGCTAACAAGACCATTAAGAATATTTGGCTTTGACTCTTTCCACCTTATTAGAATACGCTGTAATAATAACAAAGTCCTTGATATTATTTATTCTTTTTAGAACTATAAATAAATGTTATTTACGTATTAAAGTAGTTATTTAGGAAGGAGTACTCTATTTTTGTTGAGTTTTAATAAGCATTCTATTTAAAGTTAAGGTTGGTATCGGTTGCTGCGAGGCGTGCGCTCAGGGCAAAGGGCGCACTCTATTTCGGTGCGCCTGCGCAGCCCGCGCGGTGTAGAGCGGGAAGTAAGTTGAAACTAATCCGGCGCGCGGGTGGGCGCAACACGACACCGCGCTCCGCCGCTTACATTTGTCATTTATAATGCGCGCGATTTGTTGCTCCTCACTACAGCCGTACACCCGTACAGCCAGTCGAGGTTTTTTTTATGTTCACTTATTCTTTATTTAAATATTCAACGTTCCTTTCGCTTTCGCAATATTTTTTATGACATTTTATGGCTACAGCAGCGAGATGAATGAGCGGTTATATGGTGCGTAGCGAGCTTTGTGTGCTTGAAGTACCACTACACTCAGTATGTTGTGTTAACTAACATAAAATTAAATGAGCTAAGAAGTATCTTAGGTAATGTTCAGACTTCTTAGATCTCCTTTAATGGCTTAAGAGAATAGTAGTGGACATTTTTAATTTTCTGACAACACGAACTTTTACTTTCATTTGTTGCCTTTTCTTAAAAATATTCTTGCTTCTTAACCGGACTGAAAATTTTCAAGGCGTTTTCTACTTAAGTTTATGTGCAATGAACAAAGATTCAATTATCATTCAAATCGTGTACGGTATAAAGGATAACGGTGTAAGAAAATCGTTGATAAATTAGCAATCATAACTGGTAATCATAGAGAACGTTCCCGATTGTTTCCGCTTCGGGTATTCGCGTGTTACGTTAGAAAATTGATTTCCGAAGCAACAGTCGTCGGCGAACACCTCATTTCACGGTCGACGTGTGACCGATCTCTCCCTGATTTGATTACTGTAAGATTTAAAATGAAAAGTCGTAACTTTCAGCTTTCTAATATTGCACAATTTGGGACACGTTGCGACAAAGCACGACACGGCGTCCTGTGTGGCCACGCCACGTGCGTTCCGTTTCCAACAAATATTTGTCGATGCCTCATTGAAGTTTTGTCGACCGATTTTTTTTTACACCTACATAAAGAAAAAATGGGCGCCAATAACGAATATGGCGTGCGTTTTGCGTCTCTACGCGACTTTACTTGAAGTAACAATACACTATACACTTTGTGTTCCTTTTCACAGCATTATTCGTCTATGCTTTAGTTTTTATGCTCTTGTTGACTTTAGGAATGAATTATATCTGTAACGATTTGTTATAAAATGTTTTGACTCTTTAAATACGTCTTGGTTTCCGGTATCAACTAGAAAAGCTTTTTTAAGTTAACTTTAGTCAGTTTGAGATTGTTTTATTAATTGGTAAAGCAATTATTTCACAACTAGCTGTAGCTTGCGACACCGTCTGCGCGGAATTAAGAAAACTCAATTAGGAGCCTGTGTTCTTCTAGACTATGTTCTATATTCAGTGAGATCCCTCTAGTAGTTTTGGTGATACCTTCAAACAAACAACCATCCTTCCAACCATCTAAACATTCGTATTAATAATATTAGTAAGATTATTCTGAGATGTTGTTTTCTTGTTGTTCAATGAGTCTGTGATGATATAAAAGCAAGGGTGGCTTTGAAATATTTCTTAGACGCGTTCAATACATGAACGCTCAAGAAGCTTTTTTCTCTCATTTCATCTAAAAGGCAGTGAATTATTAAATATCTGAAGATGTTGAACAAACACTTTGTAAATTATTCAATATTATGAATAGCAGACTTAGTAACATATGGGATGCGATGTTAAGAGCACTCAAAACTCACCAAGATAAAACATAACGTCAATTTTAAGCATACTAACTGAAATTTAGAAGAATCGTTAATTAATAAGATTCTATATTTATAGAGTCTTTAGTATTTCTCCTATAAATATACGAATTTGTCGTATTAATAGAAATATCTTTGTAGAATAAAAATAAATAGATTTCTAAAAGTCAATACCTAAGAAAAGTACGAGTTAAGTTCACACTTAACTTTAAATTTTCAGTTTTAATCATTACCTCTTACTTAGATGTAAGTAGTCAAAAACTTAAAGCATACATATGTAAATTATATTTATAAAAGTTATTGACCAGGTGTAGAAGCGTTCAGTGAAGAAATAAAATTAATATTATACTTATCGTTGCATACGATAGCATCACTCTTTTGTTTAGCTGTCGTAATTAAAAATGTCTTATTAGAGTAAAAATTTAATTGCTTAACCCGATTGCGGTCGAATCATAAAATCCGTTTTAATTACGATTAACTGCGCAAGATGTTCTTCTGACATTCTCTATTAGATATTTGTGTAAACGATTTCCAAAAATACATTAAAAAATAATGAATAGTAAACAAAAATTTGTGCATGAAAATATGTTTAAATATTAGATATGCTTTTCTTTATTAACAGACTCGAAACTTAACATTTGAAATTTAATTAATGTCCAAAATCTTTTGCGAATGCCAAATTTGTTAATGTTGTATAACATTTAGATTTCACTGTCTTGATACTTGTATAAAAATATACAGTTATCTTTTTTTTTAATTTAATTACATTAATGTCAATTTATTTTATACCAGTGTTTTGAAAATGGTTTCCGACAGTTACAGGATACATTGTACGTTAAATACTTTACTTTTATACTTTTTTGTATATTAATACACCTAAATATTGTCTAAAAGCATCAAATTCGTTGATGTTGGATGTTGGTTTGCTTTGGAGTAATAGCATGCGACCGAACATATTGTTAAACAAATTAACGCATAGCTTTGTTGTATCGTCTCTACCGCTGATTTTCCGTTAAATATCACATCTCAATTGATTTAAATACGAGTACGGCGACATAGGTTCATCTCTTTCGGGCGTTAGGATGTTTGATTCGTTTATATAGCGTTCTCTCGCTCTAATCTACTGATCTCTTATAATGGGCGGTACGATTGCGCAAGCGCATGTTTTACAAATTCAGCCAATTGATATTGCGATAAAAAATTTAAAATAATAAATTTAAAAACTAAATTAATTAGATGAGAATTAAATTGTAGTCAAATATTAGTTCAAGTATTTAACGTTGATAAGGTTCACATAGGAGTTCTTAGGACTGATATGATCTTAAGCAAAGGCTAAACTATGTTATGTTTTCTTGTTTAATAATACTAATCGTTTTCACAAATACAAGGGGTGTAGAAATAAACGTTTCGGCTGCGTAAGCCAACGAGACTCCATCAAAAATGAGCGATATGATATGGAATACAAATTAAATAATAATGCGATATTGTTATGAGCTTAGTTGGGGTGAGCGGGTATGTGCGGGGTGTGTGGGGTTCGTGCGGGGTGCGGCGGGGCGCGGCGACAGCGGGCCGGGCCGGTACTGGGCGCGCACCGCCCCGCCCGCGTTCCGCCCCGCGCGCGCCCACCGCGCCCGCGCCGCGCTCAGTCCGCGCCCGGCCGCCGCACCGTAACGCATCGCGCATGCACTCGCTCGGCATCGGTACGCACTACGCGCTTATACCGACCCTAATACGAATAGGAACCTTATCAGGTCCTCATCGGAACATAGTGATCTAGTGTGAAAACTGTAATATGTCCGTCTAGTGGTCGTCCGGGATGTGTCGGACGTTGGTGGTGTTCGCGGGCTGCGGGCGCTGCTGATGGCGGTGGCAGGCGCGCGGCCCGGCAGGATGCTGGCTGAGGAGGGCCGCACGAGGGCCACGGACTTCTCCATCGCGGCTATCATGGCGCGCAGTGCCGCGGAGCCCCGGAGCCCGGGCGCGAGTTCGCCCACACACAACGGTCAGATAGGCCTAAATTTTATTAACCACTTTCAGGAGTTTTCCTACTTTTCATTTTTTCAGATGTGACATTAATGTGGGACACTTTTAAGGTTAGAATTCCAGCAATTTATGTGCAGCAATTAGGCCTAACTTAGCATAAACATAATAGTACACTTAAGTTACACTATTAATAGCAGGTATACTCTTTTTTAAGTTTTGATTGCTAATAATTTTGATTTTATCATGGTATGATAAAATTACTTAATATGGTTAAGTATGTAATTTAAATTTTTAAACTTTTCTTTAATTTAACAAATATTAATGTAAAAAAGGACCCATATATGAATTTAGTGCTTTTGAAATCAACCGTTATGTAGGGTATAAATTTATTAAAGCTAAATACCTATATTATTCGCGAGCAATAAGCGTATGTAACAATTAACTCGCTAGGGATATTTAAAAAGCAAATCAGATAAGAAATTTGTTTCAAATGATTACTTCTATCATTGACAATTTTCTTATCTAGATAAAAAAAGACATAATACCTAACGCTTTAAGTCTTCTAGATGTCTTGAATATCCTGGTAATTTTATAGCAGTTACTAAAAAGTATTATGTAAAGACAAAACATACTTTAAGTATAATTTTTATACAGCCAGTTAAAAATTTAATAACCCAATGTTTAAAGAATAAAATATATAAAGAAAAGTTAAAAACACACGCCGACCGACGGCTGTTGATTCAAGCATTTACATTTGTGTTTGCTCAAAATTATTTATCAATTTTATAATGACCGAGGATGAAATTATGAAAATTACAAGTAAACTGAAAAGTTAAGTATGAAAATGAATATTATATTCTAATTAGAATTTAACAAATGGAATATATATTTCGGATTTTTTCATTTTTACAGCTACTACTTTTTTATTTAGATTTTTATTAAATTGGCTCTCGCCCGTGACTCCGTTCGCAAGGAATTAAAAAATATAATTAGTAGCCTATATGTTCTTCCAGGTTATGCTCTACATCTTTGCCAAATTTCAGCGTTATCCATACAGCCATTATAGAAGGTATCTCTTTTAATAAACATCTATACATCCATCTAAACTTTCGCATTAACATGAGTAAGATTAACATTAATAGAAATATTAGTTTTGTTTCCCAATCAAATACCTAAAAAATAAAGTTAGTTTTTTTCTAACAAGACAATATCTTATTTGAATTCATCTTTTGTTTATTATAATACTCAATATAAGCAATATGTATTCGTAACTAGCTGTGGCCCGCGACTCCGTCAAACCGCGCAATTAAAAATAACATAGTAGTCTATGTGCTCTTCCAGTTCTTTACGTATGTCAAAATTAATTAAGATCCGTTCCGTCGTTCTAGATATACCTTCAAACAAACAAACATCCATCCAATCGCATTTATAATATAAATAAGAAAGATACAAGTTCGTTATGGTTAGTTCGGAAGTAGTAACCTATCTTTGATATCCAACTTCTTACTAATATTAGAAATGCGAATGTTCAGTTGGATGGATAGATGGATGTTAGAAAGAAAGAATCTCCAGAACGGGTGCATGGATCTTGCTGAAATTTGGCATAGAGGTAGAACATAGTATGGATGAACACATACTAATTAATTTCTTTTAATAACGTGCAGAGTCGCGGGTAAAAGCTAGTTAGCTAAGCGTGCTACAATTCACGATGAGGACTATGAAGCTTTTAGAGTATGTGATAAACCTTGGAATACTTTTTCTTAGTAAATGAATTTTACTTACTCAAATTTCGGGATATAAACTAATATCTAAGTATTTAGATATAAATAGGTATTTAACTTTTTAATTAAAATATGGATTTGTGTAGAATCTTTTAAACATACGATTTTTTTTGATTTAGTACTTATTCTATCCGCAATAAATGCGTTGTTATTCGTCTACACGGAAATTTAAACTACATTAAGATGCTATCATCATTCATAATTGTTAGAAGATGAACACTCATGCATATTTATATTTTAATTTTAATATTCCGAATATAAAACGTCAGCCAGATATTAATTTTTAAACAAATCTGTCTTGAATATACAGCGTGTTCCAAAATTCAACGATAGACCGGTAATGGTGTATAGCCAGATCTTTCCCCGTGTAGTTATCGCTCTGGCTATACACCATTACCGTTTTATCGTTGAATTTTGGGACACGCTGTATATCTGTTTTAATGTTTACTTTATTCTCTATGCCGTCTTATTGTAACGAGTAAAAAAAAGGACAAATCTGTTGCTGAGAGAAAAGACCGACCATTTTCTTAAGGAGTCTACATCTTGTTACAAGGAATCCATATTATTTTACTATACATTGTACATTTTACACTAAAACTCGCAAGTTTTAACATTTTTTTTTTAAATAACTCTATAATTAATTAACTATATTTATAATATCAAGCATAATTTCAATTTTCATTAAGTAAACTAGCGACCCGCCCCGACTTCGCCTTGGTGGCAAATATACCTATACGTCTGATTTTTTTTCTGTCACCCTACCCGTTTATTAAGTAGTAAAAACATTTTATCGTACGTAAACCAAAATAAGGCGAATTTTAAGGACTCGAAATACGCTGTTCATTTACTTAACTTTATATATACTAAGTATACCCTATGTTACTTAGTTATAATACAGCTTTCTAATGGCAAAAGAATTTCTGAAATAGTTTAGTAGTTTTTGAGTTTTAAAAGTACAAATCTTTCCTTTTTACGACATTAGTACAAATGTAGATGAATAAAACGGTATATGATTACTACCAGGTACGGAATTTGACGTTTTTTTGACGCATTCAATTAAAATGCGATATTTGCTAGATTTCTTTTTTATTGTATTGTATAGTGGCGATCATAATCGCCATTTTGGATTTTGGTTAATATTATGGTATTGTCGCGCACGAAAAGCTGTATCCAATGCCTTAAACTCAGTCACGACATTTTGCTATAAACATATGTTCTTGTCTGTACTTTTATTCTTTCATCATATAAACTGCTTGGTTGTTACTGCTTGCTTGAAATTAACAAAGCAACTAAGAAAGAATGCACGCCTTTCAAAATTAAAATACCTACAGTTTATTTCAATAGAAATCTTACGACAAAAAAGAGCAGACACCGCACCGACTGACAGAATTTAGGCTTATGATGTATTCCGTTATAGAATTAATAATGATCATCAGTTTTGTTACATTATTGCGATAGTAACTGCGTATCGTATAAGTAAGTTTTTAAACACATTGTATCTATGTTATATGTTAAAAATGGGATCTTGTCTGGTATTTTTGGGTAAAAAAACATTTACCTTTAATATATAAAGAAAGTTAAAGTGAACCTTAAAGTTGTTTTGCGTCTTATTTTCTGTGTAACTCTCATAAAACATGTGAAAATCTAATTTTTTCTTGAGCGTAACCGTTGGCGGGTAAAAGTGGGGTTCTAAATACTAATTGGAGTGGTTTGCGCGGGCGCAGGCGTCGGGTTGCGGCTACGTTCGTTATTTAGGATTAATTGTGCGGAACCGAGCATATTCGACACCGGCCCACCGCTCGCCTGACCCTTATACTTAAACCTTTATATTGAACTATATTTTTATAGCGCCGTAGATGGCAACTTTGTTAGCATGCAGTTATATTTCATTTTTATACTTTAATTGTAATATTCTCTGTATTATTAATTGCTGTTTTTATTTCTTTCCGAGTCGTAAAATGTAGCAGCTGTTTTTATATTTTATAATTTTTTGGTTTAGATTACTGGCTGAATTTGATTTATAATTGATTTAATTTTAAAACTTTTTCGAAACAAAATAATGAGATGATAAACAATAGAAGTAACGGACCGTTGTTATGTAGTCATTGGTGTTAAAACGCTTTCTTAAATGAATGTCTAATCATCAGGTGTGTCGTCGCGGCAGAGCTCACCAGCGTCATTGAGTTCTGCGGCATCCAGTTGCCGCAGCCCGGCGCCGGACGAAGACGTCGAGGTTGACGTGGAACAGTGCTCGGATGGTGAGCGCGACGCATCCGACCACGCTGCACCCTCGCCCGCTCCCTCTTCAGGTACGTCTAACTGCCGAAGTCTGGCACCCGACGCCTAGCAACTCGATGGAACACGAAGCAGTGTTCTTAATCTGATAAGTGTCAAGGATTTGAAAACCCCTAAAAGATCTTTGCATTTTCTATATGAGGCGAACAGATATAAAGCGACTAGACAATATGCGACCAGACTAAACGCCGAAATACGGCAAAAACTTATGCTACAAATATGTGCATACCATATAGTTGATTCCTACAATTGCCTTCAATAGACTCTGGTAGGTTAAACAGAACTAACAGTTTTCACTATAACTCATTTTAATTATGTCTTTAAGTATTTACACAAAACGTTTGTTTTATACACAAAGATATATTGCTGTTATTGTACTTTTGACACACAATAACTTAGTACTATCGCGAGGTAAAAAGTAAATTGAAGTTATAATTACTGACTGGATGATTATCATACTAAACTTTCTCAGACATTGCGTTCTCACATCGGTTGCACGTGAGCCGGCGACTAATGTCGGGATCTCAGTGTTACATTAATAACTAATAACTGTTTCGAATAACTGCCTTCGTAAAGGTTACGCTAAACAACATACGCAGCTATGGCATAACTATTCTAACTGTAAGAACCTAGTTATTATGTAGTTCTTAATCTCTAGAAATATATAAATATTATGTAGGCTGTTTTTAATAACTTTGTGACTAGGTAAAGTTTGTTATAATTTTTATTGAAAATGCCATTGAATTCGACTATCTTACTTCTTACTAATATTATAAATGAGAATTTTTAGATGGATGGATGGATGCATGTTTGTTTGTTGGAAGGTATCTCCAGAACGGCCGAACGGATCTTGATGAAATTTGGAATACATATAGTATATAGACTGGAAGAATACATAGGCTAATTGTGTTTGTTTTTAATTCGCCGACTGACAGAGTCGTGAGCGATAGCTAGTAACTTATAAAATTGTTAACATAGCGGTATACTTGCAGAGTTGGGCGAGAGAGACACGCCGTCTCCGGCAAGACCTTTGCCGGCCACTTCTTGTAATTGCGAGGAGCTGCTGACTGTGGACTGTCAGCTCGAGACAAAGGAACTGTGGGACAAGTTCCACGATCTCGGCACTGAAATGATCATCACCAAGACTGGCAGGTAAGACAAAATTTGCTCTAATTTTTTGGGAGGCAAATAAAGTTGACGTCAATAAAAAACAGAAAATTCTTTAAGTATTTACAATGAGATTTAAAAGAAACTTTGGGTAGTAAACTTGGTGATACAAAAGCGATTAAAGAAGGGTCCAGCTTACAATTTATTTTCGTCTAATTACGCCGAGTCTCATCTTCCCAAACTTAATCTTTCACTTCGCCGAAATCGCCAAGGAATTAATTCACTCTACGATCGCCCTCCGAAAAAAGGGGTTCAACGGAATGGATTCATCAGCCAAAGTGGCCAATTTCGGAATAATTACTTCGCGAACCCGCTCGTCCTTCAACCCTTTAACGAGATAAATTAAAAGTACATTTTTTCCGTGTCCCGGTCCCGGTTAACTCCGGGCAATAAATTAACAAAGCCCCAAAGACAACAAACGGCGTTGGGGGGAGGGGAAGATGTTTTTATAGTCACGCAGAGAGGTTTATCTAAATAATTGCGCAGTCGGTGGCGGTGAGCGGAAAATTGGCATTTTGTAGAGAGGGGCCCTCTCCTTCGCCCCCGTTGCACTCTGTCATGTCTGCCGACCCTCTTTACAAAGCGAACACAACATTGACGTTTACGCTAAATCGTCCCTAAACATTGAAACGATATGTTTATCAATTGTTTAAAATTATAATTAATTATTTAACGATTTTTTCTTTTGTTTTTTCTTTGATAGAATTAAAAAGTAACGTCTATATTACGTTCTCAAAGTGCGGTAATACAAAAAAAAAACTAAATTTAAAAATATAATATTGTAATCCGTTAGCATTGCTTATATAATTATTTTACGTATTAATTTGAAAACAAATGTGTAGAATAACCTTTATTTTGTTAAAATTTATGATTTGTTTGCGTGTTGACGTTTCATTCCACCTTCAGACATGTACTGTAGTGATGTAATGAAAGAAAAAAAAATGTAATTACTCGATGTCCTTTGATAATTGCAAAGGTTCAAATAATTAATCGTTGTTTGTGTTGAAAATAATTGTTTAGTTTTTTACAATTAAAATTTAAACTGTCATAAAAATTATAGGTAAATATTACAAAGGACACCGCTAAACCACGATAAATGTAATATAAATAAATGTAATTTCTTGGTATTATTTCGCCAATTTATAAAATGCCACGACTTTGCTAATATCTCTTTTTGAATATCCATTTTTCCTTACTACCACTGTCGTAGTACTTTCTAGAACAACTAACTTCTTTTATTTCGTGTTCTTACGAGGGTAATTTCAATTTAAAACAACAGCAGTACTTGTAATCGACATATTAATCCCACGTCAAGCGTTACCGATCCCAGTCTATCGCAACAAGTGAACTTATTCTAAATCACTGCGCTCCTAGGACTTTGTCCCGGGGGACATGTTTCTATTGTTCCACATTGTTGTACGACTGAGTTGTTTTGATACGTTAAACAACAGATACCATTATTATGTACACAGACTAAAAATATTAAGATTGTTTGCAGGAAAATGTAATTTACTCGTACTTAACGAAGTCTATTTCAAAGACCACCATATCGTATACTATAAATTATGTTACAGTATGTTTGCGTTGGAAAGTAATAATTTTAGTGTTTAAATATTGTCTGCATTTAGTCAATCTTGGTAAGGTTTATTTCAATGTAATCGGGCTGGGAAACCTCACGAGTGCCCTAAATAAAGGACATCCTGTGTGCGGGGCTTTATGCTTCATTGAACCATCGAAATATCTGCATTTTTTGTCTCCAACGTTACAATGTTCTTTAAATGTATTATCAAATTAGCAAAGCGTCGATAGCTTAATAGTTATGGATACGGATTAACGTTTACGTGGTCCAGAGTTTGAATCCCGCCATTGGGCTTGAAAACCATCTTAGAGCTTAACAGGAATGGTACAAGAAATATTAGTAAATTAACAAAAAAATATTATGAGTAAAATAATTGAATCACACCCAATTTCAAATAAAACTGCATACCAATAATGAAATATAAAAAATCTCTAACATTGTTTAAATAAATTAATAATATATAATTTAAAAAGTATCAACATTATGCGATCGTCAAATAAAAACCTAAACAAGAGATAAATCAAGTCGTCCAATCAAAATGGGATATCAGGGACAAATTTTATTGTAGGGTGGGCGGCGGAGCGTGCGCTAAATTGCCTTACAATGCATTCTCTATTAATTTTTTGATAACTCTTTTTATAAAGACTGCATATCCTAAGCTATATATATCACGCCTAGTATAAACTACAATTAGAGATGTTAAGTTGTCTGCCGCATTCAGAGTTCTTAATTGGTCACTCAGGGAAACACTTACTGTAGCTTTCTCGTACTAAAACGTCACTGAGGAAGACATTTCAACGACTCTAAATGCAGTTAAACCATAAACAGCTTATCTTTTACTACTGTCTGTTCTTAAATTGCTTCTTTTTAAATACGATGTTTATGAGGCGTGTATTACGTTGAACAATAGAAGTCGAATTATTTTGCATAATCCTATCTTCTACACGCAATTTTAACTTCACTCGTTAATAGTGTTAAGCATTAATATTATGAATTGCTAAAAATTTGCTGTTTTATTTTTCAGTATTAAGATATTAAAACGTACGCATGTAAGACATACGATAAATAATTATCATACACGAAGACTGCAGATTTAAATTTATTATTGATTAATCTTGCAAGGAAGCTTTTATATGTTTGCATTTTTTAAAATAACATCATCGCTGTCATTATTTCTGATAAAACAGAGATAACAATTTGTTTTATACAGATTTTGGTATCAGAAACCCACGGTTAGTTATGTTATAATAGTGCCTAGAAACTATGTGTGCTTTTTTTAAACTACCATGTTCTTATTTATCACAATATCTTTGAATTTAATATTCACCGTCGAGTGCAGAGATTAGCAAAACTTCACACACGTCCATTGGCACTTGTCAGTTATTCCGCTCGTTTTACATCGAAGTTAATATGAAAACATAAAGCGACCCTTTATCTTCGGACGTACCGTAATACGCCTTATCTTTTTTTATTGCCCTGCAGAATCCTTTATACTTCGGTCCAGTCGTGTAGAGACAACTTTACTCTTTATCGATAAAAATATTCAATGCTAATAATATTTTAAAAATAATACGAGTACACCATTGGTTGATGGTGAGATAATTTTGATATCTTATATTAGATGTTCTACATCCGAAGGTTTTCTGTCTGAAATTATGTAGCTTGCATACAAACATATTTTTTATAATCTCGCATACTCCTTAACAGTTGGTTAAATTCAAGTGATAATACTGAGGAAAGTAGTGAGGAATGGATAGTAGTGGAATGATAGGTATATGATGATGAGGTACGGAGGTAATTAAAAAAAAGAAGGGAAGTGAAAGCCTACAATACCAAAATTAGTACATACATTGCTTGGGATTCCAGCATAGTACTCCGTCTTGTGTCTTAAAGACCACAGAAATGTTAATAAAGATTATTTATTTAAAATTCATGCATCTGAATTTAAGTGTTGTCCTTTTTTATGGAAATCCGTGTTCAAAGTTAACTTTTTGATTTTATCGATACATTAAGCGGTTGACGTCACTATCGCCGGACTGGTGTGCGATGTCGGTTCGTCTCAGCGTGTTTATATTTTATTTTTTTTATTCGATTCGTCGTTTTGATTTACAAGCAGCCACTTTACTGCCAAGTGGACTTTGTTAGAGGCAACTAACTGGCGGACGATTTATGTACGGTTGACCTTTCCGGACAATGAGTCTGTCCGGTATGTTTGGAGGCTGTCATAACGAGCGCTTTTTATGCCTCGACTGTTCATCCGTTTGGTGTGACGTTTACAACAAGTTTAGAAATATTTAGGTCGTTGCGACGTAATCGATTTGTATAACACAAAATGCATGAAATACTTTTCTTGTTTAAAAAATATCGCACTTTTGACTTGACATAAAAATACCTTAATATGCCCTTTATTAGTGATGGCTAAAGGAGAGTTAAATAAAAGGTTCTCCTAAAGACGTTGAGAAGCTATTTTTAATGCTAGTTTGTGAAAAGTTATTTACTGGTGAATATTTTTAGTGACTTTTTAATTTGTTGTAGCTCTAGTATAGTATATATACATGAGTGTTAACTTTGTGAAAATGAATTCGTTTAAACAAAAATACCGATCAACGCTTTTCACTTTCTAACGTTATAATTTAATATCTTTCAATGTCCGTGTTAAATCTATAACTTCTGCGATTACTGACATCAGTTATTGGCAGCATATTTTTATTAATATAATTTGATTATTTTACACACCGGTCTCATAAATTGTTAAATGTAACATTAATTAGGGGCACCTGGCCCATCTTGGCCGCGTTCATTCCTTTGTAACCCGTCAAAGGTGTCCGTTACAAAAATGTTATAAAAAATATGACATTTAACAAATAATATTTAGTGCTGTTTGACAGTTATGGTAGGCAATGATAATCATAACTGATAATTATTAGTAGTTAATATGCAGGTTTTTCTCGTGGAGGGCAACAGGTGTTGCGTAGACGTGAAATTGAGTAGTAACTCATTGGATTACACCATGGTAATATTATGTACTTGTACATTTACTTCAATGGTTGTCTGATGTTGTTGTGTCCAATCGAGTTAATGGTAATCTCAGCTGGAGTTTAAATCCCAGCAGGTACTAACACATCATTTTTTTACCTTTTCAATAAATATGTAATTCTTTAAATTTTTTGAAGAATTTTATTAACTATCATCTCTTTTAATTAAACCTTATATTCATTTTGTACTCGTATAGTTTACCATACATACAACTGTATAAAGATATACGATCACTATAAAATCATTTTTAACTTAGTTTTTTTTAACTTTGTTTTTGCTTTTCTTAAAAAAAGAAATCTTGCCACCATAAAGGTTAAGACGGCAAAAAGTAACATAAGAAAGGGTCAAATAGAAACGAAGAAAATTAAAC